GAACCCGGGAGGCAGAGCTTGCAGTGAGCCAAGATACGCCACTGCACTCCAGCCCGGGCAACAGAGGGAGATGCCGTCTCTAAAAAAAAAAAAAATATATATATATATATATGGTCTTGGCTGGGCACAGTGACTCACACCTGTAATCCCAGCACTTTGGGAGGCTGAGGCAGGAGGATCACCTGGGGTCAGGAGTTCAAGACCAGCCTGGCCAACATGGTGAAACCCCACCTCTACTAAAAATACAAAAAGTAGCCGGGTGTGGTGGCACACACCTGTAATCCCAGCTACTTGGGAGGCTGAGGTAGAAGGATCTCTTGAACCAGGGAGGCAGAGGCTGCAGGGAGCCGAGATCATGTCATTGCACTCCAGCCTGGGCAACAAGACCAAAACTCCATCTCAAAAAACAAAAATAAAAATAAATAAATAAATAAATATATGGTCTTATAATTTTATGGGACCACTGTTATACATGGGGTCCATCATTGACTAAAATGTCATTTTGTAACTTTCTGCCGATAGGAAACGCTCACTTGATACCATTATACATTCCCCATTCTCTTCCCACCCACTACTTAAAACCATTTTTTTTCATGTGTTTATGTAATCATTTACCCAATATATATTCATTAAGCAACTCTTCCAGTTAGGGCTCCTTGTAAGCCTGATTTGGTTAATTATGCTGTTCAACTTTTTAAAACGTGTATTACTTTTTTCTGCTTATTCATTGGGTTACTAAGAAGGTTGTGTTAACATTCTGCAAGTATGAGGCTGGGCATCGTGGCTCACACCTGAATCCCACCACTTTGGGAGGCTGAGGCAGGAGGATTGCTTGGGCCTGGGAGGTTGAGGCTGTAGTGAGACAGGGTCTTGCTCTGTCACCTAGACTGTACTGCCGTGGTGTGATCTCAGCTCACTGTAACCTCCGCCTCCCAGGTTCAAGCGACTCTTGTGCGTCAGCCTCCTGAGTAGCTGGGACTACAGGTGTGTGTCACCACACCCAGCTAATTTTTTGTATTTTTAGTAGAGATAGGGTTTCACCATGTTGGTCAGGCTGGTCTCAAACTCCTGGCCTCAAGTGATCCACCTGTCTCAGCTTCCCAAAGTGCTGGGATTACAAGCATGAGCCACTGCGCCCAGCCTGATTGTAGATTCTTTTTGCTTCTGCTAACTTATGCCTCATAAAATTTAAAGCTACGTTATTACTTTTAGGGACATTATGTATTGCTGTTTAATAGATTGTTTTATTATTATAAAATATCCCACTTTTCCTCTAGTAAAACCTCTTCCCTTGAAGTCTTCAGTCTGATACTAATACTGGTTGAACATCCCTAATTTGACAATCCAAAATCTGAAATGCTCCAAAATCCAAAACTTTTTGAGCACTTACAAGATCCTTAAAGGCTATGTTCTAAGGAAATGCACACTAAAGCCATTTCAGATTTGGGACTTTTGGATTAGGAAAGCTCAACCAGTAAGTATAGTGCAAATATTCCAAATTTAAAAAAAAAAATCTGAAATCTGAAACACTTCTGGTCCCAAACACTTTGGATAATGAGTACTCAACCTTATAGCCACAATAGTTTTCTGCTGTTAAGTGTCTGGATGATTACTTTTCCTCATCCTTTTAATATAAGTGTGTCTTTACTGTAAGCATGCCATTCCATGTATTTAATGGAGTGTTTAGTCCACTGACATTTAATTATTGATACTTTGTTTACACCTACCTTTCTCTTTGTATCATCTGAGCTTTGTTCTTTTTCATTCATCAAGTATTTCTACTGTACCATTTTACATTTAGTAGCTATTTTTTAAACAAATTGTGGTAAAAAAAATTAACAAAATTCCCCATCGTACCCATTTTTATGTGTACAGTTCAGTGTTGAGTATATTCACATTGTCATGTAATCCACTGCCTTTTATTATCCTTAAAAACAGCATCTCTCATCTCCAAGCATGTTTTAATATGTTTCCCACCCCATGCTGAGAAACTACCACCCTGCTCTTTTGTACAGATTTTTTGTTTTTTTGGGTTTTTTTGAGACGGAATTTCGCTCTTATTGCCCAGGCTGGAGTGCAATCGCGCAGTCTCAGCTCACTGCAACCACCACCTCCTGGGTTCAAGAAATCCTCCTGCCTCAGCTCCTACTGCTCCATTCTGCTAGCAGAAGTACCAGCTCTAAATGTGAAGCGTGCACTCACACTGGTTTCTGCTGCCAGCTCGGCTAGGTGTCCTGAGCACACAGCAGTGTGGCAGCCCAACTGAGGAGAATGAAAATTTGTGTTTCTCAACAGGAAGATGTGGATCCTGTTTTCTCTGCTTCTAAATACATAACTTAAGCCAGTTACTTCACCTTTCTGAACCTTAATTTCTTTACTCATAAAAATGAAAATAGCAACACATGAACATAAACAGGGCTGTTGTACAATCAAAGCAGATAATATACCTAGAAGCCTTTTTTTTTTTTTTTTTTTAAGATGGAGTCTGGCTCTGTAGCCCAGGCTGGAGTGCAGTGGTGCAATCTCGGCTCACTGCAAGCTCCGCCTCCCAGGTTCACACCATTCTCCTGCCTCAGCCTCCCGAGTAGCTGAGACTACAGGCGCTCGCCACCACGCTCGGCTTTTTTTTTTTTTTTTTTTTTAGTAGAGACGGGGTTTCACCGTGTTGGTCAGGATGTTCTCGATCTTCCGACCTCGTGATCCACCCGCATCAGCCTCCCAAAGTGCTGGGATTACAAGTGTGAGCCACCGCACCCGGCCTCTAGAAGCCTTTTTTTTCCCACTATGAAGCACTATAAAAAACATAAGGTGTTCATTATTATTTGCCCCATAATTCAAGTTTGCACTGAGGGCAAAGAGACTTTTTAAAAGATACATACAGGTGAATTCACAGCAGTCTAAATCAATGACAAGCATTTGTAAATTACTGAGCTAGGAAGCAAGTTTACATGAAAAATACCTCTACAAGATCCTTTCTTGGTCTCAACTTTAAAAGGGGTTCGCTGAGACGGATGGAACACATTCCACCCTTCCCTTCATAGCTGCATATCCCAGCACACCTAGAAAACAATCACCATAAAAATGTGTTACATTGACCAAATACGCCCAAGTCCTTACACATTCTTGGGCAGTGCACACTAAGAGAACTCATTTGGCAGATGGCTTTCTTGAGAGTATATCCCCTTGGTTAGCAGATACTTGCATTTCACCCAATTAATTAGTTACAGCCCCCGGGGGCGCCTCCCGCGATGGCTCCCCGGCCAGGCGAGGAAGGAAAGCAGCGCCCTCTCACCACCCTGCTTGAGAAGGTGGAAGGCTGCAGGCACCTGATAGAGACGCCAGGACAGTACCTGGTGTACAACGGGGACCTAGTGGAATACGATGCGGACCACATGGCCCAACTGCAGCTTCCCTTGCCCTAGCTAGGCTGCAACAGCTCGAAGGCAATCCCATTCTGCTACTCCCAGTCTCCTTACGACAAATCACAGTTTGGTGTTATTAACAAGCAGGTATCTCCAATAGTGTATCTCCAAAATGATAACAGACGCCTGTATAAAGGAGATTGGTACTTTAAACACAATTTAATATGATATCTTAATTTGTTTGTAGGTTGTTTTCTGTCAACTCAAAAACAAGCATGCTGGTGGTATACAACTGTATCTTAAACTTCACCCTATTCAAGTGCAGGAGTAGATTATTATTTCAAATAAGGATTTCTCAAATTTAGCATGTAGAAAAAGAATCGTTTTAAAAGCATCACTGAAGATCCCCACTGCAACACACGAGCTCACTAAAGTGGGTTCCTAACGGGAAAGAGAGGAGGGGAATGCACATCCTTTGGAGGTTACTCTGCGTCCTCAGCACTTTCTTAGGGGCAGATTTGGTTGCTTTTCCCTTCAGGGTCCTACAGCACTATCATAAGGCAAATCAGGAACTTGTTATTTTCAAGTTTAGTGAGATTCAAACACAAATCTCTTTTCTCGTTATGGCCCTGAGTCCAACCGTGGCGGTGGGGTCTACACAGCTTTCTTATTTTTCGAGTGGGAGAAAAGGTAAGAAAAAGAGAAATACGCCAAGGCAGGAATTGCCAGGTCCAAAACCAGACTCCCCCCTCATTTAATGCTCCCTGGGACCGTCGGACCAGAGAAAGGAGAGAAGACCAGGACCGGGGGCTGCAGGAGAACTGCCAGTCCCGCCTCTTTCCCCAGCGGGGCTCGGAACTCACAGGGTCATTCGCACGCTCCACTTCACCTCGACGGCCTCCAGCTGGCCCCAGAAGAACTGGTCGTTAAACTGAACAAACAGGGCCTGCAAGTCCGGTGTGGGGTCCACCAACTCCCACGACGCGTCCACTAGCGACAGGGACTCCTGGGCCTGATCGCGCTCCGCCTCCTGCAAGTTCCACTCCTCCTGAAGCCGCAGGGCCAACATCAGGTCATCGTCCATCGTTGCCAGGATCACAGGCGGGATCCGCCGGTGTCAGGCTGGCTCCGAGTTAGGCTGCGACCCCAAGCCGCCTAGCGGAGGACCAGGACTAGCTCCTAGGAGATACCGGCTCTCGAGACGGCCAGTCAATCCCGCGAGAGTTCGCGGAAACTCGCTTGAGAAAGAGAACGTGAACGAGAACGGTGCTTACCCCAAACGCCGAAGCCAAGATTCTAGGGCTTTAAAACAAGCAGTCAGCACGACACCTCCTAGTGGGCGCAGAACCTGGGCTCACAGGGCACCGGCCCTACGAAGCTTTCAGGAAGCTAGTTCCAGCCTTTACTCTTTGCCGGTTATTTCAAACCTCAACGTCACGCTCGGTTCATGCGCAGTACCCAAATTGCTCTCGGCCTCTCCACTCACTTCCGCACTAGCTCCTCCGGCGCATGCGCCTTAACTGATGGCATTCCTGCGCAGGCGCAATGTCTGCGCCTGGCCCCTTGTGCAGGCGCAGTGTCTGACGCTCAGACCCGGCGCAGGCGCACTCGTCTTGTTCCAATTCCTGCTTCCTCAGCCCAGGAGCTCGGTGGGTCTTGGGTGGGTGTAGACAGCCGCGGCGGCTGCGGCGCCGATAGTGACAGTGAGTGCGTGAGACCCGGACGGAAATGGCGATGGCGATGTCGGACAGTGGGGCGAGCCGCCTGCGTCGGCAGCTGGAGTCAGGGGGTTTTGAGGCGCGGCTGTACGTGAAGCAGCTCTCGCAGCAGTCGGATGGGGACCGGGACCTCCAGGAGCACCGGCAGCGCATCCAGGCGCTGGCGGAGGAGACGGCGCAGAACCTGAAGCGCAACGTCTACCAGAACTACCGGCAGTTCATAGAGACGGCCCGTGAGATCTCCTACCTGGAGAGCGAGATGTACCAGCTCAGCCACCTGCTGACGGAGCAGAAGAGCAGCCTGGAGAGCATCCCGCTTACGTTGCTGCCTGCCGCAGCTGCCGCCGGAGCCGCTGCCGCGTCTGGCGGGGAGGAGGGAGTCGGTGGGGCGGGGGGCCGAGACCACCTCCGAGGCCAGGCCGGTTTTTTCTCCACCCCCGGTGGCGCCTCCCGCGACGGCTCCGGTCCAGGCGAGGAAGGAAAGCAGCGCACTCTCACCACCCTGCTTGAGAAGGTGGAAGGCTGCAGGCATTTGCTGGAGACGCCGGGACAGTACCTGGTGTACAACGGGGACCTAGTGGAATACGATGCCGACCACATGGCCCAACTGCAGCGGGTGCACGGCTTTCTCATGAACGATTGTTTGTTGGTGGCTACCTGGCTGCCGCAGCGGCGGGGGATGTATCGCTACAACGCTCTCTATTCCCTAGATGGTTTGGCCGTAGTCAATGTCAAGGACAACCCGCCCATGAAGGACATGTTCAAGCTGCTTATGTTCCCCGAGAGCCGTATTTTCCAGGCCGAAAATGCTAAAATAAAACGAGAGTGGCTGGAAGTGCTGGAGGAGACCAAGAGAGCCCTCAGTGAGAAAAGGCGAAGGGAGCAGGAGGAGGCAGCGGCCCCTCGAGGGCCACCCCAAGTGACTTCCAAGGCCACTAACCCATTTGAGGATGACGAAGAAGAAGAGCCAGCTGTTCCTGAGGTAGAGGAAGAGAACGTGGACCTCTCCATGGAATGGATCCAGGAGTTACCTGAAGACCTGGATGTCTGCATTGCGCAGAGGGACTTTGAAGGGGCTGTTGACCTGCTGGATAAATTGAACCATTACCTGGAAGATAAGCCTAGCCCACCTCCTGTAAAAGAACTAAGGGCCAAAGTGGAGGAGCGAGTTCGACAGCTCACTGAGGTGCTGGTTTTCGAACTCTCCCCAGATCGTTCCCTGAGAGGTGGTCCCAAGGCTACTCGCAGAGCAGTTTCGCAACTGATCCGGCTGGGCCAGTGCACGAAGGCCTGTGAGCTATTTTTGAGAAACAGGGCAGCCGCTGTTCATACAGCAATTCGTCAGCTTCGCATCGAAGGCGCCACTTTACTCTATATTCATAAGCTGTGCCATGTCTTCTTTACCAGCCTTCTTGAGACTGCAAGAGAATTTGAGATTGATTTTGCAGGCACTGACAGCGGCTGCTACTCCGCCTTTGTGGTCTGGGCAAGATCAGCCATGGGCATGTTCGTGGATGCTTTCAGCAAGCAGGTGTTTGATAGTAAGGAGAGCCTCTCAACAGCAGCTGAGTGTGTAAAAGTGGCTAAGGAGCATTGCCAGCAACTGGGTGATATCGGACTGGACCTCACCTTCATCATCCATGCCCTTCTGGTGAAAGACATCCAAGGGGCCTTGCACAGTTACAAAGAAATCATCATTGAAGCCACTAAACATCGCAACTCTGAAGAGATGTGGAGAAGGATGAACTTGATGACGCCAGAAGCCCTGGGGAAGCTCAAAGAAGAGATGAAAAGCTGTGGGGTAAGTAACTTTGAGCAGTACACAGGGCATGACTGCTGGGTGAACCTAAGTTACACAGTGGTTGCTTTCACCAAACAGACCATGGGCTTCTTGGAAGAGGCTCTGAAGCTGTATTTCCCAGAGCTGCACATGGTACTTTTGGAGAGCCTGGTGGAAATCATTTTGGTTGCTGTTCAGCATGTGGATTATAGTCTTCGATGTGAGCAGGATCCAGAGAAGAAAGCTTTTATCAGACAGAATGCATCCTTTTTATATGAAACAGTCCTCCCTGTGGTGGAGAAAAGGTTTGAAGAAGGTGTGGGGAAACCTGCCAAGCAACTCCAAGATCTGAGGAATGCATCTAGACTTATTCGTGTGAATCCTGAAAGTACAACATCAGTGGTCTAATGCTTGGGTCTGTTTATATGTATGTATATATATAGAGAGAGCGCTTATATATTATTTATATTTATATTAAGTTGTATTAGCATACTCTTTATAGTTTCAAACACAACTTGAAAATTAAAAGTGCCCTCTTAGAATACAAAAATCAAAAAGAGGAAAAGAAGTTAAATTAAGCCCAAATAACAAAAATACTGGAATTATTAAAACATATAGTATGCTAGCTATCCTTTTAAATTATGCTGATTCTCTTCTGAAATTATGGTCACACTATACACTATAGCATTTCAGTTTTATCCTTTGATAAAACACTTTTTGGTTTTTTTTTTTTTTTTTGAGACAGGGTCTCACCCTGTTGCCCAGGCTGGAGTACAGTGGCAACGTCACAACTAACTGCAGCCTTGACCTCCCAGGCCCAGGCAATCCTCTCACCTCAGCCTCCCATGTAGCTGGAACCACAGGCTGGCACCACCATACCCAGCTAATTTTTGTATTTTTTGTAGAGATGGGGTTTTACCATGTTGCCCAGGCTAGTGTTTTCTTTCTTCTTTTTTTTTTCCGCACAGTATATATTATACAGCAGAGTAATAATATCTATAAACATAGAGTTTATGTTGTGAAAATTTTCCCAGTTCACTAAAAGGTTTCCTAAAGGGTACAGTGCAGTATAAAACACCCTGCCTCATTTATTTCTCCTCAAAACGTTGGACTATTTGGGAAAAAGAAAAGCGTTGGGAAAATTGGTTTTAGGGTAAGTTTTAGTCAAAAGAGTTCTTTCTTGAAACTAGCTGGTGTGTGGATTCAGATACTCTGATCCTTACAGAATCCAAGAGGAAGCTTTCATAAAAACAATTCAGCAACTATTTCTAATATTATTTGAATGGCTAATTTTCAGTTGCTAATTAGCAGCTTTGTAATACTTGATTCAGGAGCGTTTACTTGGAAATCCTAAGGACTATAATAAAATTTTTCAACATATTTCTAAATTGCGTGAGTTTCCAACTGTAGCTTTTGCCTTTGTCACATTTTAAAAAATAATAATAGGCAGGACACATTGGGGACTCTGGCAGCAGTTGCCAGGTTTTAGCTGCCACTGCTTCAGTTTAAGATACAGCTGTCCCATCCTCCCCCATTCAGGGTAGGATATATAGTGGCCTAGATGTCATGCAAATGGAAAAAAAGTTTTAACTGAAATATTTATTTAGATTTCAGGGTCTAGATGGATGGGAAATTAGAAAAACATATGCAAATCTCAGTGTTCTCACTATGACTACTCTGAGCAGAGATTCGGTTTTGTTTCTTTTTGTACCAAAGTGAAAACAGGTGAGACAATGTGCCCAAAACAAAGGGAAGATGAGAACCTTCTGTGACTTCTAAAATGTTCCATGCTGCATTTTTCTTGTTTCATTTTTTTAAACATGAATATAATGCTTCAAATTGTTTAGTAAAACAAAATCAGAAATGTGAGCTTCCCAAGGTTTCTAAACTATCGCTTCTATTTTATGTTCTATAACATTCCTTATACTTTGAGAGAAACTATGCTTGCTGTGATCCATTTTGTCTCTAGCTTCTAGTTGTGATTCTTGTCCATAAGCACCAAATTTGATGCCCATGATTTCAAAAGGTCATTTCTTTTATCTAAATGAAAATGGTGGTACTAAGACTGTGAAAATTATGTGAAACCTAAAATAGTTGCCAAAATGGCTCAGGGTTGTAAAATTCATTGACTTAATTATTCATGTGCCAGATCAACCCCTTTATTTTCGCTTTAGCTATGCATATTTAAAATATTGGAAAGTATCAGATTTACAGATTTTCTTTTGACTACGTTTTTTCACATAACTTTAGGATTTTCGAAAGTTATAACCATAACTGGATATCTTAGCTGAGCAAAGGCAGTTATAATTTGTCTTTTTAAGATCACTGGAAATTGTTAAAATTTTGTGGTAATTATGATTATTCTGTGCCATTTACAGTTTCTAATACTATACTGTATGAAATATGTATAAATATATGATGCTGGGTCTGTGAAATGATACTTCTGAAATCAAAATTCCTCATAAGGCATGAAGTTGTAAAAACTTAAATGTGTATAGTTAGATATTTAAATGGTTGCTTCTTCATAGAATTGTCTGCTTTTTGAAACTGGAAGTACAGGATTTTCTTCAGGTAAAATCTGTGTGTTCCAATTACAGTTGTAGCTGAAGGAAGTATGCTTTTGGTAAGTCAATTAGTGTGGTAAGTTGACAAAAGACTCCCAGTGTTGTACCCAGACAGAACAATTATGTTACATTCCTCTAAGTGGAGTGGGCTTTGTTCTCTAATTATTTTGTTTTATTAAACTCAAAGACAAGTTCTAAAAATTGAATGCAATGAGAGATTGTCCAGAAATATAACATATACTAAAATATACCACTTAAGCATTGATTGACTCTTCTTGTTTACTTCAAGAATATAAAACTTGTCACTTGAGCTTGGAATCATGGGCTTGACTGAATTAATTACTCTTGGGAAAAAAGGCACCTTGTGGCATTAAGTCTCGTTTTGATTAAAGCCTCATTTCACATAATTGCTAAAAACTCACTTTTGTTTAATATACTACCTATAGTTTAATTATCAGCACTTGTATTTTGTAACTTGATATCTTACCTAGGATTGGGAATTTGGGACATGACATGTACTATAAAAGTCAGTCTATGTACATATTGCTTATTGATGTGCTGTGATATGAGGGAATCTGAAATGTTTCATAAAAATAAAGCTTAAACATTGTCTTACACTGGATAAAAGTGATATTACAATATTATATCTATTGCTCTTCTTTAGTATTCAATATTTTTATATTCTTGTTACTGAAATATTCTTTGAAGACCTTAGTTTTTTGTTTTATTTATGTGGGGAGGATAGTTAGGAAGCAGTTTGCTAAATTAAGTAAGTGTTCTGCTTACCATCAGAATTGTGAATAAATCAGATCTCAATTTTTTAAGATTTCCTTGAATGGAAAATTTCAGAGGTACAAAATGTGAATTTATTCTAAAAAAGTAGATTTTATACCATCTGCACATTTCTAAATAAATAAAATAAAATGTAGGCCACAAGACCTAGAAACTAAATGACAAGGCTCAGCATTTTTTTTTCTTTTTTTTTTTTTTTGAGACAGAGTCTTCCCATGTCGCCCAAGCTGGAGTGCAGTGGCGCGATCTCTGCTCACTATGTCGGCCTCCGGGGTTCAAGCCATTCTCCTGTCTCAGCCTCCTGAGTAGCTGAGATTACAGGTGCCCGTCACCATTCCCGGCTAATTTTTGTATTTTTAGTAGAAATGGGGTTTCACCATGTTGGCCAGGCTGGTCTCGAACTCCTGACCTCAGGTGACCCACCGGCCTCGGCCTCCCAAAGTGCTGAGATTACAGGCGTGAGCCACCATGCCTGGCCAGGCTCGCCCTTTTGAAAGTAATATGTATATACTGAGGAAATTATCTCATATTTAAAAGTATCGAATGCTATGCTTCATATTGACTGTAATGTGGGAGTGCAGAAGACAAAATAATTTTAAACATACTTTGTCCTCTTAAGATGCTTAGAAATTGGAAAAAGTCGACAAATGTAAGTGAGAGAAAAATGCACAGCTGTGTACAGTGGGAATACCAAGAAGGAAGAGAGCAGTGTACTTTTAAGGAGTTCAGAAAGTTCTCATGGAATTGTTGGCATTTGAGCTGGTCCTTGAAGAATGGACAAGATTAAATGTGCAAAGAAAAAGGAAGAGGAGGACCTGAGCCCAAGGCACAGAAGTGGGAATGTGGGTGTCATATGAAGAGACCTTCCTGGATAGATTGCAGAGTTTGGAAAAGCGTAAATAAGCCACACTTGCCTACAAAGGAAACTTCAATCCATATGCAATGTGCAGAAGAGTTAAAGTAAAAAGTCAAAGTCCTCATACCACAACAATCCCACTCACCAGAGGTAACCACTAGTAAGAATTTCATACACATATTTTTCCAGAAATTGGATCATACTCTGCATACAGTTCTGCATCTTGATTTTAGTCACTTAGCAATTCAGTGTTTTTAAGACATCTCACATCAGTACCTCTAGCTGTACCTCACTGGGTTTTTCTTCTGCGATTGGGTAGTATTCAATCACAGTGAATGAATATATCATAATTTTGCATTTTCCAATTACTTGGTTGGCTTCAAGGTTTGGTGATTACAAAAAAAAAAAAAAAAAAAATTCTGAAAACCTATGCACATCCTCATAATTTGCTTATGTGAATATACCTATGGGATGTATTTTTAAAAATTACTCTGCCAAACTACATTTTAAATTTAAGCATTACCAGTTGCTCATCAGGAGCGTTAAATCATTTTAAGCTGTCTCCAACAGTATAGGAAAATACCTGTTTACATGAATGCTCATAAACCTGTATTCATTCATTGTTTAAGAGTAGTCTTGCTGGGCGCAGTGGCTGAAGTCTGTAATCCCAGCACTTTGGCAGGTTGAGGAGAGCAGATCGCTTAAGCCCAGGAGTTCGAGACCAGCCTGAGCAGCATAGGTAGACCCCCGTCTTTACAAAAAATAGAAAAATTAGCCGGGCGTGGTGGCACACACCTGTAAGTCCCAGCTACTCGGGAGGCTGAGGCAGGAGGATTGCCTGAGGCCAGGAGGTTGAGGCTGTAGCAAGCCATGATAGCACCACTGCACTCTAGCCTGGGGGACAGAGTGAGACCTTGTCTCAAAAAGAAGAGTCATCTTATTAGTAATAATATTCATTGTTACTAATCTTCTCTGTGAAAAAATAGCTTCTAGGTTGTTCTCATTTTTGTTTGTTGGTTAGTTTTTTGAGCCAGGGTGTCTCTGTTGCCCAGGCTGGAGTGCGAGTGCAATGGTGCTATCGTGGCTCACTGCAGCCTCAGCCTCCCTGGCCTGGCCCAAGGGATCCTCCTGCATGGCTAATTTTTAAATTTTTCTATAGAGACAGGACAGAGGTTGGGGGGTGGGGTGTTCACTTTGTTGCCGAGGTTGATCTTGAACTCCTGGGCTCAAGCAATCTTCCCACCTCGGCCTCCCAAAGTGCTAGCATTATAGGCATCAGCCACCATGCCCAGCTTCTAGTTTTGTATGTAATTATGAGTGAGGTTGAGCAACTTTTTCTGTTAAGCTTCCTGTTTATATATTTTGCCACTTTTCTCTTAGATTACCTGTGTATTGTGATTTTGTGGGAGTTTATTTTATATTTAGGAAATTAACCCTTCATGTGTACTGCTGTAGTTTTTCTTAGTTTGTCATTTGTTTGTATAGCTATATGTTTATTTTCATAGTATGGTAAATTTTAACCTGT